AAAAATATAGGGAAAGGAGGCAGGGAGGGAAAAAAAAAATACCCATGTTTTTCCCCTTTTTGGGGGGGAAAAAAAAAAAAAAAAAAAAAAAAAAAAGGCCGGGGGGGTGGGGAAGAAGATATAACAACTATACTTTTTTTGAAGTTGTTAACAACAAGCAAACGGAAAGGACATTCTTGGGGGGGAGGGGAGAGAGGGAGGAGGGCGGGAGGTGTCGGTGAAGGGCCATAATAATCATATACATTGTATATTGACAAAATAAAAATTAAAAAAATATATATATATTATGCCACCAAAAATACTTCAATTTTCCATAAGTGTTTTGATTACTTAAGAATATGAAAATGGATGAAACTTTCAAGGAAAGGAAGAGGAAGGAATCAGTGTGAAAAATCTTTCACTAATTTAAAGAAATCCATAAAATTAAAAACTTGAAAAAGAATACGCTCTCAGATACATAGAAGAAAGATACATAGAAGAATATTATATATTATGCTTTGAAAATATAATTCTTTAAGAAAGTTTCTTCCAGGAAAATAACAGGTGTCTAAAATTCTTTCACCTATACATTCACTTATTCAACAGATATTTATTAATGTTTACTGTGTGCTTGGCATTGTCCTAGGTACTGAAATTAAATCAAGAAAATGGAAGAAACTTAAATACATGACTAATCAAGATGAAGAGAAAGTTTCCACAGAATTAACTCTAAGGAGATCTGGTCCATATGATGTCATCGATTCTCCAAATTTCAAGGAACAGATCATTCCAATGCAATGTTCCATACCTATTCAGAACACAAAATACAGAAAGCATCCCAATTCATTTTATCACATAAATACAATCCTGTGATGACACATAAACTAAAATAAATTATGGATCTCACATAGAGAATAAATGCAAAAGTTTTAAATAAAATAATCGGCATTAAATACTATCCAGCAGTATACCAAATTATTAACCAGCCTACAAGCAAGTCTGGTTTGCTCTAGATATATGATGAATCTATTAGTTTGGTACCAAATCTATATAGTTTGGTACCAAATTAGATGTAAGATTAAGTTGCCTACCACCACTATCATTTAATGTTCTGAAGTTACAGCCAATGAACTAAATTTAACAAATGGGGGGAGAGAGAAAGAACTATATCTGAAAAGAAGCAACTGTCATGATTTCCCAAATGTGTAACTATAACTCTGGAAATAATGTGAATATAACTGAAAAGCAAAGTGGCCGGTTAGAATCGAATTTAATAAAATAGCTGTCCTGTCTATACAAAGAAAACTACAAACAGGGGCCATACCCTGTTCCTCAGTGAGAAGACTCAGTACTTCAAAGATCTTTTCTTTGCTAGCAGAGCAGCTACTTGTCTCAGTATCCATTCTCTTCTCACATGACTCAGGCAGAGGGGACTCCCAGCCTCAGTTAGGAATGGATACTGATCAGTTTTAACCAATCATGGCAATCCCATTTCTCTTGCCAAGGACTGGGTTAGAAATGGTAGGTGACCCAATCCCAGCCAATGAGAAATTAAGGATACATCTACTTGGGGAATTTCAGGAAAGACTTACCTTGATCCTAAGAGAAATATCAAATAAGTCTTTTCCTCTGGACATTATCATTTCTGGGTGAGATTCCTGGAAATTGCTATAGTCATTTTTCAACCACAAGGGAGCATGAAGAGAAAGCCAGTGGAAGGAAACCAATCAATCATTCATGATTTCAGTGAACCACGTATCAACTAACTAAACAGCCTGCTCCCTACTGCTGAACTGCACATGAGATAATGTGTCCTTACTGTTTAATTTAATTCAGTGGCCATTTTCTGCTACTTGTAGTCAAAGATATGCTAATTTATTCAGATGGCAATCTCGCCAAACTAATTTATTAATACAATGCAAATACAATAATTCAATCTCAAAAGCACTCTGGGTACTTGGCAAAATGATTCTGTATCCAGTGCGCCACCAGGCCAGCCCAAATTTAATTAATTTTTAAATTATATTTTTCAGAACTTGGCAAAATGATTCTAAAATTCACTTGATGGGGCCGGCCCGGTGGCGCACTGGATAAGTGTGCCGCTCCCGCCCGAGGGTTCGGATCCCACATACAGACTGGTTCCCGCTCACTGGCTGAGCGAGGCGCGGAAGCAACACCGAGGGTTGCAATCCCATTTCCGGTCCCCGGTCCGGTACGGGGGCAACACTGAGGGTTGCGATCCGTTGCCGGACATGGAAAAAGACAAAAGACAAAAATATAAAAAATAAAAAAAAAATAAAATTCACTTGAAAAATACATAAAATGCGTGGGCGCTCCCGCCCGAGGGTTCGGATCCCACATACAGACTGGTTCCCGCTCACTGGCTGAGCGAGGCGCGGAAGCAACACCGAGGGTTGCAATCCCATTTCCGGTCCCCGGTCCGGTACGGGGGCAACACTGAGGGTTGCGATCCGTTGCCGGACATGGAAAAAGACAAAAGACAAAAATATAAAAAATAAAAAAAAAATAAAATTCACTTGAAAAATACATAAAATGCGTGGGAAAATTGACTGAAAAATGGGAAGAAGTTTTGCAAAAGAAGCATGTGTGGGCTGTACCACATGTAACTTAAATATATAATCCATATAATTCAAACAATGTCATAAGATTCATCAGATGAGTAAATCAGAATGGAAAACCCTAAAAGAAACCCAAGTATACACTAATTATAATTAGTACATGATGCTTGATAAATGTCTTCAAGGAAATAGTTACCAACTTCACATCAAAATACATTCCAGATATATTAATAAATTAAATGTTAAAAATGTTTAGAAATAAAAAAGAAAACAAAAAAACTTAGAAGGGAATATGGGTGACTAATCATCTGATTTCAGTGTTGGAAAATATCTTTCTAAGCATTAAACTCCAGAAGAGCAGGGATTTTGCTTTACTTGCAGCTATTCAAACCCTAGAAAAATACCTGGCACAGAATAACTACTCAATTAATATTTATTAAAATTAATAAAAACAAAGAAAACATAAATGAATTCAGATCTAATTCCAAAAAAATTATAGACTTCAAGCGAGTCATAAAGATGCCCTAAATTGAATACATACTGTATTATTCATTAATATAAATTTTAAAAAGGAACATGCAAAAACTAAACAAATCTTAAGGAATACCGAGGTAAAACTAAAGAAAAGCGAATGACAGAGACAAAATTCAGGAGAGTAGTATCTCAGGTAGGAAGGGGAATAGGATTAGGACAGGCACACACACATCCTCAAAGGTGCTGGTAATGCTGGGTCATTGCGTTTTCTCATAATTCTTTAAAGTATACAAAAGTTAGTTTCACATTCCTTTTTATGTATAAAAAGAAAACAACCACTTTATAAACACAAGGCAGTGGGGGATGACCCCAGAGACAAAGATCAATAAAATGATAAATTTCACTGTTTAACAAAGAAATGCTGTATCATCAACCTGACAAAGTTTATGAAAATCAATGAGTTTTGGGGAGAAGGGGCACACAGCCTTATCATAATAATAAAAACTAATAATAGTTAACACATTTGAGCAGCTACTATGGATTAGGCATTGTTCTAAGTGCTTTATATATATGTTAACTCATTCAATCCTCCTAAAGGTCCTATGAGAGTAATTACTCTTAATCTCACACTGAGAATCAAAAGTACATAACGATTAACTAATTTGACCAAAGTCACAAAGTAAATAAGTAGCAGAACCAAGAGATGTAAATTAACACAGTCCTTTCAAGTGCAATTTGGCAATATTCATCAACAACCTTAAAATGTGCTACTTTTGACCCAGAAATTTCAGTTGTAAGAATCTACTCTACAGAAACAGATCTGGACACTACCTTGATGTCCAGTAACAGAAGAATGGACTACCATGTAGATCTACCATTCTGGATTGAACACATACATGAAGAAAAGTGGGTAAAGACAACTCTTTCCAGATGTATTACTTTAGGGACAATAGAGTTGACCACTGTATCCCTAGCATCTTGGCAGCCCTTGGCATAGAGTAAACGTGAAATGAGTTACTGAATGAAGGTCAAATCTGAAAATGTCCAATACTTCAAGCCAAACTGAGAAACCCAGATGTTTGAGAGCTACAACTTCTTGCCCATCCCATTTTGTTCCTACTCTCCACAGTGAGGATGAAATGCAAAAACATGAGCTTCTTTCTCAACTTGCTGTATGTCTAGGACCAAAAGGGAATAATTAACATTTTTCTGGTAGCTGAACTAAGAGATAAGAGCAAGACCTTCCCTTCCTGCTCCAATTTTTCAAAGGTGAGACAAGTATACTTCAAAAAGTTCATAGAAAGATTTGTATTACCTTTTAATTCTATTTTTCTAGAACTTTCTGAAGTCCTGTCATACATAACTGAAAGTTAACAGATAAATCATGAACATGTAACCAAGGGGGTTAAACAAACAAACAAAAAAAAAACAAAGGAAACTTGACCAAAACAGTGGTCAAGTTATTTAAACAAAACCTCTTATTCTAAACTCTGAGTCCTTAAAAACAGCCACTTATTTTCAAAAATGGATAACTTTCCCTCCCCCAATTCAGATAGCTTTCCCTTTCTCAAAATGTTAACAGTAAAGCCCTTTGCAGAGAAAAGGCAATATTGAGAAAAAGTCAGGTTTCCTACCTGACATAATGTCTTCTGTTAATTCCTTTTCTCTTTCAATTTTTTCCTCTAGAGTTGAAATGCAGAATTCATAGCCAGCAAGAGCAAATTCCTGCCTGTAAAGCAAAGATGAGTAATCGCCATTTATCTTTTCACAAACTCCTCATTTTTCCAGTTTAGTTTTGAGCATTATCAGTAAAAGTGAAAAATGGGAAGAGGAAATTTTACTTAAAGTCTGTAAGGGGTAAGGGGTGTCAATATGCCATTTCTCAGAAGTTTGTGGGTTTTTTTCCCTAATCATCCATTTAATGCAACTTAAGACATGAAAAACTAGGAATGGTGCCGTAAGTGTAATAACTGACATAAATAGCAATCTTCATCATCTCCCACTAACAGTCTCAAGTGAGTCAGTTTCTCCCTGTGTGAAAGTCTTACACCTGTTCAAAGTAATACAAGCCTGAACGGAGGCTCGGGCCACCCCACACTGAGGATTCCAACTGCTGACCTCATGCAGCTTCTGGGGAGCTTTAGTCCCTTTATACTTCTTCCAAGCTGTAGGTATTTGACAAAAGCTTCTTTTACAGAAATAGACCTCCTAGCTATGGCATTAGAAGGCATTTAGCCCGACTCTGTAGCCCTGCACTTTCAGTCAACTGGACAGGACACCCAAGCAGGCAGACTGACACTGCTAATTTCTTTTAAGAGCTGCAGAGGAACATGACATAAATTCTTTCTCCATCTAGGAGCTCAGCTTTGGTTCTTGCTCTTCCGTTTTGGCTCTAGTTTCTTTCCAGAAGTGGTACTAAGAGCTCATCTCTTCTCTTGGAATGCTTTGCCAGGGGAGAACTGATGACCCTACTAATCTGCTCTGTTCTCAGAACCAAAGTGTCCCCTTCATTCCCCAGACCCAAACTTTGGCAGGAGGGACCCTCTGCAACCAGAACACAGGGCAGGGGGAGGGCACCCACAAGATGCTTCCAGTCAGAGCAAGCGGTCCTCAAACAACTCCCTCCTAACTCACATCACCCTTCCTAAGCTTCAGGATCTGGCCATGTCTTTTCTGGTCTCATGCTTCTCTTAATAAAACAAAATGGAAAGCACAGAGTGCAGAGGAACTTCAAGGCTAATTATTAGTGGCTATTACCCAAGCTTTCACCTCTACAAAACTATGAATTTGTCATACTCTCCAGTACTTATTAGCTTTAGGCTTCTTACCCCAGGAGTTCATACCCCATCAACATCTAGTACTGTTTGTTACCACTTCAAGGAAGACTGACCTAGCTGCAGTGTACAATAGCACAGGACAAGCTCAAAGCTCCTCAAAAGACTTGAAGTCAAAGGCCCTCAGAAGCTCTAGCCTATCTAGTGTCCAATCAAAATCAAAATACTGGGAGACTAAGCAGGTCGGGAAGAAAACAAGGAGCTAGTGATTAGGGCAGCAGGGACCAGTGCCAGGGCCTATGGCCTCAATGAGCACCCTTTCCACAGCATTAGGCTTGAAGTCACTCCAAACCTGTGGCACCAACATCTGCAGCAACTAAAAACCTAAAGGAGGCTAGTCTCAGGTCTCCCCCTAAATTCACCCCAAAATATAGCTCTCTAGAGGAGTTCTCTGCTTACACCCTAGGTGTTCATCTTTGAATTCCACCTAGAGAGTGACAGGGGATGAAAGGCACTCACTCATCAGTGTCCCTGGCCTTTGTTACACATCTAAATTGTTTTCTAAAGCCTTCCCATGTTGCTGGTAGACTTTTTCTTCTTTGTAAGAATTTAGACTCTTCTGCTAACTTAAAATTAGAGCCTACGTCCTGTCCTACTTATGCAAATGTCTCCCTGCTACTCCTAGATATTTCTCCTTCCTAAAACCTAGCTACAACCATCTCTACGTGCTCTAAAAACACTACCTACTGAATAAACCCCTGAGATAACACCCATGGCAATTCTCTCACCGTATAACTTTAGACCTCACTTCCTCTTTTACTGATACTTATATCAGCAAAATGACTTTTTTTTTTTTTTTGTCTTTTCCGTGTCTGGCAACGGATCGCAACCCTCAGTGTCGCCCCCGTACCGGACCAGGGCCGGCAACGGGATTGCAGCCCTTGGTGTTGCTCCCGCGCCTCGCTCAGCCAGTGAGCGGGAACCGGTCCGTATGTGGGATCCGAACCCTCGGCGGGAGCGCCGCCGCACTTCCCAAGCGGTGCACTATAGCAGTGCACCACCGGGCCGGCCCAGCAAAATGACTTTTTCAAGCATACTATCCCCAGCAGCTTTTACACTGCTCCCCCTCTTTTAGGAAGAGCTAAAGTTCTAACTCTAACTTCCCTTCCCACTTCAAGCAGGAACAGAAAACTTGATTAGCTTGTCACAGCACAGCCAGAGGTATAAGGGCTGTGCACCCCATTCAAGCAGGCTAATGGAAACAACAGGGGCAAAACTGGAAAAGGCTAAAGATTTCAAAGATGAGGGATGGAAATGCCTTTTGGGGGGGGGAGGGGAACAGTACAGGGACCATGCTCTAACCAACAACTGACTAGCCCAGGTAGGGAACACCTTTTGAGTGTGACACCCAATATTTTGGAGACCCAGATGACTAGGAGGTACATGAAGATTATATAACACTCACAGGGTCAAAGTTTTCTGCCCATAACCCGACTTCCTGGTTGCTGCCACACCTAGATGCTGATTATACTTACCTATTCTGAGCAGCATAGATACTGGCCAGCTTTAGGGAGATTTCAATTATTGCATTGTCTTCCTGATGGGAGAAAGAAATGAAAGAAATTCATAACAAGTAAATTTTTCTCATGGAATATTTCAGATCAACTTCTAGAATGACTTTGGCCTCAAAGCCAAAGTCTTTATTCTTTTAAAGAAATTAGCCAACTGTGAATTCCTCAGGTGAATTCCACACTGTGCTTTTGCACTAGTGAAAAAATGGCAATTTTTATACAGATCTGGGGGGGAAAATCCACCTTTTTTATCCGAAGCACATGTTGGAGGCTGGGAGGAGTTTTCAAGAAACAAGACTATTTTCAAAACTATTTCATTGAGGGGACAGTACTAGGCAATGTCCTTACCTGCTTCATTCCCCCACCAAGCAGGTAACTCATTGTCGCTTTAAAAAGTTCTTCTGCCTAAAACCATAAGGAAAAGATTTTTCTTTCACTTGGGCCCCACTATCTATATGACCCTGAATTCTCATTACCAGTCTGATGCATCATTCCTTGTAAAACACTCATATGCATACACTCACACAGAGAGAGAAAAGTTCCCTTGTGAAGGGAAAACATCAAAATATCAGGAAAGCACATCTTCTATATACCTTAAACTACTCTGTAATGAGTAGAAACCAACTTCAGAGATAAACTCATCCAAACCCACTGTGGCAGAGGCTGCAAACTGTTCCCTAATATTCACTCTCAATCCCTACTTTTTTAGTTACAGAATCTCCTCAATTTTTAGCACATTGGCCTCCCCTGCAGCTAGATGCAGTCATATGATGAAGTTTTGGCCAAGAGTTGCAGGCAGAAGGAGTGAGAACAACTTTCAAAGCATATTATATAAGTAAGCTGCTTGCCTTCCATCCTTTCCTTCTCCCTTCCTGCAGGCTGGAGCAAGGCAGCTCACCCATGGAGATGAGAACGTATCTTAGAAGGAACCTAAGCTACTGGACCAGAGAGCAGAGGCACCTACCTCTGGGCTAATGCATTAAAGAGAAATACACCTCTCTCTTGCTTGAGTCACTATATTTTGGGGTCTGTTTGTTTCAGTAGCTTAACCTGTTTCCTTACTATTACTGTTCCTTTGAGGCTAGTCTTTCAAAAATTCAAGATATTAAACAAAGTGATTTACTTACGTTTTCAAGCTGACCCCGTATAAATGCTAAGTTGGCCATCTGAAAGCAAATTGCAAATTGTTTTTCAGTTTAGAGCACTGTGTTCCTACTTACTTCAAAACTTTTAAAGATTCTCTTTTGCTTTCACTCTCTAAATAAAAAAAGTCAAAGTGAAAAGTATGTCACAATCAATCTGCTAGAAGCACAGTACAGCAGTACAGCAATGATATAAGTTAATACTTTTATATACTTTGTTGATGACAAACAAAATCTAGGTCCACTCATCACTGAAGAGACAAATGCCAATATTTGTTTCATTTTGGTCTGGAGTTGAGAAGTATCAACCCCAAGGGTAAAAAAGTTGAAACCAAACAAAACTTAGTAAAAAAAAAAAAAAAAAAAAAAAAAAAAAA